AAAGTTCACTATTGAATCTCCCATTAACAATCAATTGCCATACCTAGATACCTTAGTTTCCTTTGACGCCACAACCAACAAATTTTCTACCACATTATATGTAAAACCGATCCATAGCACATGTATTACCCATGGGACAATCACGGATCGATAGCCTCCAAAAGATCTGTGCTCGTAGGAGAAGTAAGGAGAGCAATTTCACGGTCGACAGACTCCACCGAAAGAAACAAATCATTACGTAAAGTAACCTCAATATTTACGAGTAACGGATACCCCAACCAATTTGTAAGATCAGTAGTACAACAAACATTGCATACCGAACCACAACGTGACAATCAGGAGGGATGCATCTATCTCAAATTACCTTATAATGATGAGGTATTCAAGCGCCGTACCCTAGCCATTATACGAAGAACTGGAATAGAAAATATAAGAGTCCCCTTCATGAACGGACAACCAATATCTAAAATATACGCCCCGAAGAAAGACAAGCTAAGCTGTACAATAGATTGTGATACCTGCAAACTCTCAGAGAAAACAAATCAGTGTCACATCAAGAATACGGTTTATCTCATAAATTGCCTACAATGTCAGAGAGTTTATGTCGGTGAGACAAGTAGAACAATACGGACATGCATAAAGGAGGATCTTCGTATGGATAAACAAATGGTTTTCATCCATCTTAAAACCCATAGCATTGACCCACGTACTGTCCCATCAATTAGCTGGAAAATTCTCCACAAAAATATCAGATACGAACATGAACGAAAAATCTTCGAAGCCTTTGAAATTCGTAAATATACGGACAAGATTATGAACGGTTGTGTGCGCCGTATTCTTAACATCTAGATTACTTAATCTCACTTAACTCTTATCTAACTTTTAATAGATTTTTAACTATGTCCATTTTAGCATGACCTTTTATCCACAGCACATTACGCATGTAATTTATGTATGTTTTATTAATGATAATCAGGTGGACTTGTGTGGGATAGAATATTATTATAGACTTATTGTGTCACTGATGAAGCCCTAACTGGCGAAACGTCTGACAAACTTATTAAAGTTTTTAAGCTTACTTTTGCCTGAAGAAATCATTACCAACACCCAGCACATATATCCAGGCATGGCAACCAAAACTTTTATATATATATATATATATATATATATATATATATATATATATATATATATATATATATATATATATATATATATATATATATATATATATATATATATATATATATATATATATATATATATATATATATATATAGTTACTAAAGCGATGCATCAATTCTATCGAACAAGATACATGAAGTAATTATTTTTGTTTGTATGTTATATTACGGCTGCTTGTCCTGCTGGCTGGCACAAGTACGCAGATAATTAATTGTTACAAGAAGTTTCCGGCAGCTTCTTGGAATGAAGCCAGATCAGCATGTGCTCGTCAAGACGCTACGTTGGCTCAGGTAGCAATTAGAGGTCTAGAAGAAAATGAATTTATTACGAATAAATTTTAAATTTGGATACAAACAGATGGAACATGGGCAGACCAACCCAAGTTGGAAAAACATCCATATATATGCAAAAAAACAAGGTACAGTTCTTATGCGTGCTCTATGTAAAGTATACCCGGCTAGTATTTCGAGCGCGCTAGGTCAAACAATCTTATTTAAATCCACAAATTATTACTTAATTCTTTAATAACGCAGTAATTGTGGTGGTAAAGAGGTAAATGTACAGACCGTCAAAATTGGGTTGAATTTGCCATGTATTCAGTGTTTGAACTAAAACGAATTTACATACAATATGCTGATAATATAATATTTGTCGGGAACTTAGATACACAGCAAAAAATCAATTTCTTAAGAAAAATTATTTTCTTAATTTAAGAAAATATGTTCTTAAAATGAGAAACTTATTTCTTAAGAAAAATTATTTTCTTAATTTAAGAAAATGTTTTCTTAAAATGAGAAAATAATTTCTTAAGAAAAAAATTATTCTTAATTTAAGAAAACTGTTTTCCTAAAATGAGAAAATTATTTCTCAAGAGAAATTACTTCTTGATTTAAGATAACTGTTCTCTTAAAATGAGAAAATTATTTCTTAAAAATATATTTCTTGATTTAAGATAACCCGGTTTTCTTAAAATAAGAAAATTATTTCTGATGAAAAATACTTCGTATATAATATTATATAGTTAATTCCACATATAACTGTTTTCTTAAAATGATAAGTTATTTCCTCTAACTGCATGCATGCTATATTAAAAAGAACCTCGTTCTTCAACATAACTCATAAGACGTTTTCTCTTGAAAATGTATACATTAATTAACCGTTTCTTGATTGATGGAATCAGATTAATTTCGTCAATGTAAGATTATCTTTCTCAAAATAAGGAAGTTGTTTTTGCAATATGGCTTGAATTAAATTATTAAATTGCACCATGCATGCACATGCATATTACGATTTTTAATCGTTATAGTTTCTATATAATTTTTTATACACACATGCAATAATTTCAACTGATCATGCAGGTGTCTCTGTTGTTATTCAGACTCCATATTGTAGTATGAATCGCAATCACATGGATCTCAGCATTTTCATAAAAAGTAAAACCATAATAGTTATCTAGAAAGCGGATAAGCCAGAGCTTAGAGGACCCTAGACTTGCTCCAAGTCTTTCTTTCATTGTCATATAGTATCGATCCACTATAGTGTACATTACATGACATAGCACGGAATAAGAGGACTCTGGGTAAAGACGCAGCAATTTGAACTTTGATCCTTCGGCGGTTTGACTTTGGAACAAAGAGCTTAAAGGGGCAATGTCACCGCTTTTTGACCTAAAATGCCTTTTATTCAAAAACTGAACTACAAAGTTAAAAATAAACATTGTAAATGGATTAAGTTATGATATATGAATCATATTAAACAACTTTGAACCTCCACGCAACATGTACATGACATTTTCATAAAAATTGAATAAAACTTGAAAAAGTGTCTGCCAACAATTAATCAAGATGCCATCATAGTTAATAGAGGAGATGGTTTGGAAACTCGTTAGCATTACAATAAAATCACAATAAACCTCATTATCTATGTTGTTCAGGTTGATGCAAAAATGTGGTCCTTCATCGTCACGTGCGTACTGTATTTTTCTCAAGTCAACCAATAGGAATGTTCAAAATGTCCTATTGCTAAAGTCATGGATGAGCAATTGGACAAAACCGTTGCTATTGGCTGGTTGAGCAAAACTACAATACGCACGTGACGATGAAAGACCACGTTTTTGCATAGACCTGAACAAAAACATAGATAGTGAGGTTTATTGTAATGCTAATGAGTTTCCAAACCATCCCCTCTATTAACTATGATGCCATTTACAATCCGTCTCAATCCTGGCGTAATCTTGCCCATCCAGACTTCTGTACATGTTTTTTGTGTCTGTTATTGCTTTATTTTGTGCTTACACTCATTCTTTTTCAGTTTTGGGCAAAATTTGCGAGGGTTGGAATTGCTCAAAAATCGGTGACATTGCCCCTTTAAGGTTGCGAGTTTCGTGCCAAGAATGTTATGATCGATTAGATCAAGAGCTTTGCGAAAATCGAAAAGGACAACTCTTGTGGGCCATTTCCATCAGTATCTTTTGTCCATTTATTGAACATGGTGTTTTGTCCATTTATTGAACATGGTGTTTTGTCCATTTATTGAACATGGTGTTTTGTCCATTTATTGAACAACAATTCGCAACCGAACTTTACAATTTTACTCATTTGAAGATGCTCCTTCCAGCTATGGTAATGGTTTCGTTCTTCTTGTTTAGATCAAAATTTCGTACATTGCTGGAATCATCCATTCGAGATCTTAATAATTCTCCATTTCATGCTCATCCACTGATTATTGACTGTCCTATCTTAATTTATCTATTCTAGGAATTCATTCAATGGTTTGTGAAACTTCAGTTTCAGTCATTGTTCCCTGGGGCTTCATTCGGCCGTAGAACCACGGCATTACAAAATCTTCATTTATTTTTACAAGTTTTTCCTGCGGGCCAAAACAAAGGTATATCATGCACCATCATGAATTAATATAAGCATTTTAGTCTACTACCGTTTTTCGGAAAAAGGTTGAGTTTTAGTAGGAAAGCACTCCCCCACTTTCACCAAAACCCCACTCCTGGAAATTCTTCATTCAGACAGCACTTTTGAGCAAAAATATTACCGTCTTAAAACAGGTTTTTAATGGCGTCTTGAAGAATATACAACGGTCAAAGTGCTTTCTTCCTTTTACAATCAATTATTTGTATTTGGCACAGTTTCTTCAAAGTACATTTTGAAAAACATAATTCGAAGAAAGTTTCAGTTTCCAAACCCACCATAAAAAGTGATTGTATAAAATTTTGACCATAATCACCCTGCACTGATCAACTTGTTTCCCCATGGTGCACTGCGCTCGTCACCCAGGATCTCTTATTCAATGGCTAAGTCAGTCATTGTGTGTCACTCAATCGATCACTGTGTCACTGAATCGATCACGTTTAGATCGAGGTTGGGTCGGTACCTAGCTATATGAACAGGCTATGTGACTGTTTGATTATCACAACAAAAGTCGATAAAGTCGTTTTTCTAGAGAATGGATCATAAACCATAAACAGTGATCACTTTTGTTTCAGAAAAAGCATATTCATATTAGGTATAGTACTTTCCGTAGAAATTCCACGATAAATCGGCATGACTGTTATTATGGCATTTGAACTAAATGTCATAATATGTATCTTGCTACATTGACCGTGATCAGAAGACAGAACGTGTAATGCATGTAGCTACTGTTGATATTGCACACTTTGCGATTTAGCCCCCATATAATTCTAGTATGAGAAATTTTCCCGGAAAAAATTAGTAACCCCCTCTAAAGATATTGACGCATATATGCCAGGTAATAAGGTAAGTTTCAGTTCTGCTGGTTGTATATTAACAGCAGCGTCAATAACGATGGCTTTGGTATCACTTTATGGTAAATCACCGCTATTTGTCATAATCTTTAACTGACTCCCATAGCAATTTCACTGTTATTTAATGCATATTCAGTTCCTTAATTGTAGGCTTTCATCGAGGTGATCAATATGACATTGAATGTGTTTTGCGGTTTTTCTTCTTTTTTTTCATGACTACGGTTTCGATTTGTAAGCCCCCATCGTATAATCTCTCCAATATGTACAAAATCATATAAATAACATTTCCCCAAATCGTACATATTACCCATGCATGTAGAGAAAAGGAACATGCATGCTCTATCGTTGCTCATACATTTATATTGTGTTTTCAGATCCATATGCTATATGGGATGGTTCTGAGATATTCACATCGCAAACTGTCCACATTTTGCTGGATTGTATGAAAGATACATATGATATCAATAAGCAGATTGCATTTAATTTACTCGTTGCTTGTCCAGCTTCCATTCACCCATTCAAGGTAAGATGGCAACTGTAATCAGTCATCTACAATCCATAAGTGGCTGACTAATTCACAAATCTCACTATTCTGTACTTTTTTATTTATTTATTTATAAACTTTACAATCAACAAAACGATTGAAGGTACAGACAACAGGACTGAAAAGTCCCAAAAGTCCTATACCTACACATTACATTGACATTGTAAAACAATAGAGACAGGGTCACAAACTTAACAAAGCTACAATACAAAATTACAACACACAATCAATGCGTTTCAAACCATCCTTACACTTTCCAAGTTAATATGAAATAGTAGACATGGACCGCACAAATATTGCAGTCCTTTCTAAGTCAACTACCTTAAAATGAAGAGACCTGAAAATTGCAATGGTTTGGGAAATGACCAAGTTACAAAAAGGATTAATACATATAAAAGTATCAACGTTGTACGTGTACAGCACAGACACAGTCGCAGAATACAGTAAACATCCTATAAACATGCATGTGTTCCAAGCTGTCCCTGCATTTTCCAAAGATAGATTTCAAAGAACATCACCTGGTAAATGAGTGAAGTTACTTGTCAGAAAGACTTACCCTTTTGGATCTGCGAGTTATTTGGTCATGCGGTTTTATCACGTTCTCTCTGTTTCAGGATATCCACTTTACCTTAAATTGGACGACAGTAGCAACCCAGTGTGCAATCAGTCCAAAAGCCATCAACGTTAGCACTGCAGCTTGTATGTTTAAAATACTCATCCGTAAATCACCGCATAAAATATGTCTACCTGCGAACCCAGAAAATTGTACGGCTTGTGAAGAAGAATGTGCTCAATCTGATGGAGGAAACAAAGGCAATGACGAAGTCGCATCTTTAACTACCCAAGCGTATCAACTTGACTTAGGAGACAAAGAAAGAGAAACGTCGATACCATGTATGCAGGCTTTTAGACTTCTTTCTCAATTTGTCGAATTGTTGAAATCTCAAATTGAAGTGGCTCGCAAGAGTTTACTTGAGGCTGCATTTGAAGCTCCAATCCATGGCGTACTTTATTGTGTACGAGAAGTTATATGCGATCTACAACTAAGGTTAGAGAAATATCGTTAGTGCTATTTGTTTTGCAGGAGCATTGTTTCAATTAAAGTGGTTATTGACACAGACGTAATTATCGATAGGGTGGAATGGAATGGGGCCTGTCGCTCGATAGCCAATAAGCTTAACATACAATTCAAAGCAAACTTCCCAACAGGTTGTTTATAAATTTGTAAACATTTCTTTAGAAATCTTGTCTGGATATCAGCACGAGTTATGTTTTCTTCTCTGAAGTTTTAAATAAGCAGATGTGCAGAAATGCATAAACAAAAACAGCCGATTAAATTCCAACTGGGGGTTACTGCTATAACCCTGGACGGTCTGTGATTCTGGTCTGCGCCAATGTGGGTAGTGCCAATAATAACAAAACATCAACCACCTGAAAAATACATGTACTAACTTTCATGTTTCGCTCGCTACTCTGGTTTAAATAAATGATTACAAAGCCCAGTCGAATTGTAATCAAGACCCAACGTTTCGACACTCCAGTTTAGTGTCTTCATCAGGGGTGATCTAAAATTGCAATCGTGGCTTCTTAAATAC